GATGGAAGTCTAGCAAAAAAATTGTCCTTCCCTCGCACAGTCAACTGGAAATATCTCCGAAATTAGAGGAGATATAGAATTTTTTGTTGGTACCTTTTTTCTAGAGCTAAGTGAGCACTCCAAAAAAGGGAAGAACAAAAATTTTGCTATCTCCCTTGGTTATCGAAATATTCCCGAATTTAGTGAACCCGTGAGATGAAAATGATGAAAACCCCCTGAGGAAAATCATGAAAACCTTCAGCAGTCTTACATAAATTAGAAACTTGAGTTTTCTTTTGAGATTGCGGTACTGATCCTTATAATTAGGTACTTCCTCTTCGGGGCTGTCGTCCTCATCGTCTTCTACTTCTGCAGAATTGTTTGCTATAGACCGACAATACCATCCCTCCAACATTGATTACGAAACTGGAACAATTAAAAATAAAATTATCATACAGGATATATAAAACAATCAATAATCCCTCGAGAAATCGATATCTCGAGGTTAGGAACGAGATTTTCGTGTTTTGTAAACAAAACAATTACCCCACCCCGCGCAAGCAATTTAAATTCAATTCACGTAACTGAGGGATTACCTGACAGTGCAATTTATTTGTTTATGAGAATATCCTCGATTTTTTATTAATAATAAACTGCGGTTATCGGGTTCAATGGATTTTTAGGAGAGAAATAAATTTCTGTGATTTTTTTCGATTGATAGAAAACTCTAGGGCTCTCGCCATTATCCCTAGGATGTTACTAGGGTGGGGGGCGGCGGCGGGGGAAAATTTGAAAATGGGAAATGGCTCGAGAATTTAATTGTATTTTCTTATTTTTTAGGATTGACTCAGGATTTTAGGATGTTATTCTGAATTAAAATTGCGAGAGTTAAAAATTTTAAGTGCAAAATGTCCGCGCGGGAAAATTTGAAAATTCAAAATATCGTACTGCCCTAGAATTATTTTTAAATAATTTATACATGCGCACATTAAAAAATTTTAATAAATTTTCAATTGCCTAATCAAATCTCACATTTTGTGGAATTTCGAATGAAAAAAAATATTTAATATATTGAATATATACTCCTAATGAAATAATAATTTCATAATGAGCGCGTTGCCTAATCAGCAACGTGCTTGACTGTCACCCTGACGGGCTGGGTTCAATCCCAGCGTCATTAACTTTTTTTTTTCAAAATAATTCTAATTTTTTTTTTTTTATTAATTGCTAATTAATGGAAATATCGTTAATAAACTGAATATTTGAAAATCGGAAAGATATCCAGTGAAATTGCAAAATTCGAAGTTTTTGAAACGATACTTTTTCAATATATATACCCCTAATGAATTTATTATATCATAATGAGCGCGTTGTCTCAGCGGTAACGTGCTCGAC